TTATCTTTCCCCAGAATCGACCCCTGTATTTGGGTTGGTTGAGTAGCACGACATTCTGACATGAATTTTGCTCATGGATTGCTGGATTTTTGATGTGTTTTGTCGCTTCTCCCTCACTTGATCTATTATATTCTGATAGCTGGGACTCTCCGTACGCATCGCTCGAATCTTCAATACACACGGGCCACGAATGCAGCTAAATGATGGTCGAGTTGTGAGTAACTTCATCATTCAGGCGTTGCAAAACAAACCACTCACTGTAAGTCCCCGCTTATTTTCTATTCAATCATTTTAATACCCTTTCGCCGGACCAACTTTCGAAATTTTGTGATTGGAAACTTTTAACTTCAAAATATTCTTCGGTCCTCAATTGGTTGAACTCAGCTGATTCGATTATTTTGTTGTCTAAACTTCGGAATGTATCACAAGAAGCAGCGTCCCGCTGGTAGTATGGTTCATCGACTGTCTGTCACACGTAGACGGTGTTCGTGTGAGATTGAGGTCGGTCTTAGATCTGATCACCAAATTTTGAGACGGGGATATTCCTTCTCTAGACCTACAGATTTCTGGATCCGCATGTGTCCTTAAACCCCGCTACCTCTTCTCGAAGGGTATCCTGGACCAATAGCCCAGACCGAATTCAAGCTGATGACTTTTTTCGCCCTTGTTCACTATGAAAAGCAGTGCTCTCCGTTCTTTTCTGTCCAACTTGGTATGGGATTTGATTCGCGAGACACCTCTGTCTTCACGGGATAACAGCGCTCTCGTCATACTTCCAGGTGATCTAGTGTGTGCATATGACTTTATACTGCAAGGTGAAGATCCGGGTAAATGGCAATATTTTTTACGAGTGTTAGCGTAGCTATATTCTGCACGCGTCTTGTACCCTCAGAGTGTAAAATGCTTTTTCAGGATTGATGTAGTCCAGCTATCACCATCACCCTATCACGAAAAGCAATGAAGAATATACACAAATAGTGCTACGTCGATAGCTGCATTTTATCTAGTAAAAAATTTACGGATAACATGTCACGCACATGCAGAAGGCTTAGCTCCTGTTTTCCAAATTGAGGTATCTATGGCGCCTCCGCAATTTTCGGTTGTCTATGGAGGGTTGAGTATACGCTGCAGTTATGCGACCGGTTTTCATGTATTTTGCAGAAACCTACCTCTTACGGGAATAGGACGAAGACGACGGATCGGTGCCCTAACGACACTGCCTACGCCACATTGCTCGAGTATAATGGGAGAAGCAGACAAGCAATGCCAAGGTTAAACGCGGATTTGCGGTCGCGCATTGGTGCATGTGCTCAACCTCCATTAACAGTGCGAATACAACGACCCATATGTTTTATATTTTTTTTCCACACAGGTTCGAGTTCATACTGTGCTATGGAAATCATGGTACACTTATCTTCATGAAACAAAAGAAAAGCAGGTCCACGGTTTGCACGAGGGCACGATACTGTCAGGTTGCTCAGGCCAAACAGCTGAATAATCTTAGTGTTCACAACAGGAGCCTTCGGCTAGCCAAAGCCTGACCCGAAAGGCACGGACGGTGCGTGAAAAATCCCTAATCTATTGTGGGTCGGTGTTCAGCTTTTCGGACCATACGCCCTTTGGATAAGGTCAAACTTTTAAGGTGCCCAATACATCTCGATGCCCAAATGAGCCGTTGACCACTACTACGACCAAGGTGTGTGTATGGTTCATACATCGACCCAACTGGGGATCGAACCTGTGGCCTCACAGGTAACACGCAAATGTACAACCGGATTAGGTGGAAATATTGATGCCCAGTTCACGCTTCATTTGTTCAATGCACGACGAACTTCACCATGTTAATTCATAAGTGACCTCCGCTAATCTCATGCAATAATACGCATTCCGACTGCATATGTGACCACAACAAGTTCACTTATCCTTTCAGTGGCATGATTGTCTTCATCAGAATAACAGTGTAAACCTCATAAGGAGGATGGTCTTCGGATTTCTGTTTGATTATAAAATGTTGCGACCTGTCCGAAATTTAATCTGCATGTTGCAATGAATAAAGTGATCATATCATCGACTGTTCGCTATTGTCGCTTTCATCTTCTTATCTCTAAATCCGGTTTTAGGACTGTTTATTGTTTCCAATATGCTAACCCCTCCCCCCACCCCCAATGAACAGAGCATAACCGTCCGCTCGTCTCACTCGGATGTGGACTGTTTCGTTCACGGTAAATCCGCGTCTGATCATATTTGCATCCTCAAGACGGTCTGCACTAACTTGTTTAGATTTCAAGGGGTCAGGTCGTGATATATTGGCTCTATGTAATCGCAATCCTAACCTACTCTGTTTACTTTCTAGCCGCCTTGTCATCGCGGCAAATCGTGACAGTATGAACGGCTGTTGGAGACCCGTTGGATGCCATAGTCGCTTATTTTCGAATGTTATCCTCTGTATTCTTGATTGCTACTTATTTTGGTATTCGGTTCAAATAGACAACATAGGTTAACAGATCCGTTTGGGTTTGGGCATTCATTTATCCCACCAACGCGAATGCAAATGGACTCCTATAATCGGTTTGCTTTCTTTTTTGGATCCCGTTTTTGATCTCAGGTCTATGGTACCGGTAAACAAACTCGATCATTTCAGTATATATCTGATCTGGTCGAGGGTCTGGTTCGGCTCATGGCATCTAACTACTCGCAACCAGTCAATCTGGGCAATCCACAAGAATTCTCGGTGCTGGAGTTGGCTCACATTATCAGAAACTTTACAGGTAAACAACCCGCAATGTCGCTTGTACAGTAGTTCATATTTTCTAATCCCGAGTAACCATTTCCAGGTTCACCTTTACTGCTTTTGGTCGTCACTGTTTGCGTAGCGTGGATCGAGTGGTATCAAATGAATAGGCTAGCAACACTGAAATACAAAGTCAGCTTTATAATAGTGTTTCCATATCTCCCACGACGAAATAAATTGAGAGCAATTCGCTGGTTTTAGTCGCTCTCACTGGCGTGCTCCAAGGTTTGAACGCTGTCGCTACTGCACACAGCATCGACCTCTGAAAGCCAAGGGTGTAACTTGGTTTGTGACTGCTCACCCTTCCCTTACACCTCACGAAGTGATCCTATACGATCAATCGTCTCAAATAGATTCTGCTAAGGAAACCCTGTTCACTGCCTTCATATAACAGAGATGTTTTC